TTCAGATCATAGACCTGTTGGAAGTTCCAGCCCCGAATCTAAATCCTACTTTTTAATTGAGGATAAGATACTTTGGTTCAAATTGCTTGCTATCTTCCAAAGTTCATTATGCAGTCAATGTGTATCATTTTGCCTCTTGCAAATGCAGCGAAGCACCCCCGAATTATAATGCTGTCACGGCTATGTTTAAAGGTTGACATCAAATCCTTCTCTTCCAAAGTCGTATTAGGAGCTCACCGGATATGATATCTATTGTTACTCCCCAAAAAGCTTTAGTTTCGTATCATCTAACCTTTTGCCAGAATATTTCTAGCTTCTTCTTATAAGCTTTGGCCTAGTTGAGGCGATCATGCTTGTGCTAATTCTTAAGCAGTGGCCTTATGCTAGACATTCTGCCATGACGATCGGCATTGTTCAGATTTCATCGCACTGTAGATGTATGCACATTAATTGGCCAGTGAACATTGGAGAACTGCAAAAGTTACAGCATGTTTTGCCTGGGCTTCACGAAGTAGGTGACTAGTTGCACTTGGTGCTATTTTTTGCGGACAGCTAGTTCTTGATTGTGATGCCGTCATATTAAGGCAGTTTCCATTTCGAAATAATTTGACGCACTGTAGAGAAGTGCACTCCAAATCATTTTGATAGATTTTTGTCAACTTCCCTATCATTTTAGGTTTCAACCATGCAATTTTTTAAAGCTTCATGGAAGTTCTTTTGATATATATATATATATATATATATATATATATATATATATATATATATATATATATATATATATATCACGTACAACCTTGCATTTGGAAACTAGAATTAATCAGCACGTACCTTCCAAAATACGACTTGGTAAGACAGATAGAATATGCTATCTTCCCCCCATGAATATAGAATCGGCTATTGCTCAACATTTAGTTGAGAATATAGCTTGTGCCAAGTTATTTAAAAAAGAGTGGTTTAAAATTATTCATACAGCCGATTCCAATAATCATTTGAAGATTTTGGAATCGGTCTGTATAGGATTAAGAAAACCTTCTCTCTGCCGGCAGAAAGAATTTATAAGGTCTCTGAATCTGTTGGGGGATATTTTATTTTAACTGTCCCTCGCTAATTTATTTACATGATTTCCCCTTCCCTCGTTACAAGTATATATACTTGTTCGTTATTTTAGTGTGTTTCCCCCTTTTTTTTTTTTTTTTTTTTGCTCTTCAATATCGTTAATATTCTTTTCGCTAATCCAACGATTGTCTCCTGATGAGATGTTGGCTGAAAGGGCCCTAGAGACTTTTAAAATTAAAATCAATGGTTTCCTTGTTTTTAAAATATATATATATATATATATATATATATATATATATATATATATATATATATATATATATCGTGATCTTTACATATTTATATTTATATAGGTGTGTGTGTGTTTAAAATATACTGACTACAAACTTTTGCAAAATGAGTTATATATTTTTTCACTGCAGTATACACAGCTTACCAAAAATGAACATGTGTCATTTTGATTTTCCCATGGGAACAAAAATTATTTGTACTGTCAACCATGTAAAAAACAAAATACGGTGAGTAAATGTAACGGTTCACTTACTTTTGCACATCTTAATTATTAATTAATATTTTTGTTCCACCTTCATAAAAAAAAACATTGGAAATTGTAATTTTTTAATAATGGCTTTTCTTAATGAATATATAATTTAATTATTATTTTAAATATTATTGTTTCCTTACTCTTACCACTTCATAAAAAAAAACATTGGAAATTGGGGAAAAAATTTAATTAAGGTTAATTATTGGGAAAACTCTCGGGTTAATTACCATTTACGGTCGACTGAAGATGTAGACACGGCTGGTGAGTCTGTCCATTTACGGTCGACTGAAATTTAGAATGCAGCAATATATATATATATATATATATATATATATATATATATATATATATATATATATATATATATGTATACAGAAAAAGCCTGACAAACATCGATTCAATGTTTGAATTGTTAATGTCTTTTATATAGCAGAAAAGAATACTAGAGCAGAGAAACGGGTTACAGAAAAGAAAAGTAAAAAAATACCTCATACACTGAATTCTAAGCACAGAGAGAATGTATCTTGTTGTTAAATCGTCTCAGAACGATATATGACTCTTGCGATGGAGGGCTAAAGATTTCTGTGCGGGGCTTAAAGTTACAGTGGCATTCCTATAGTTCATATAGATAAACCCGGCTAGTGATAACTGACCTTCGGCCCTACTACTTCGCACGTGATTATCACGGGGTCTTGGCTGCTTCAACAAAAATCATGTGAATTCCAAAGTTCCTTCTCGCTTACACAGCTCTATTTCAATTTTTAATCGATAAAAATTATTCCGACCATTTCCATTGTCTTCCGATGACACAGATTCAATGCGTACAACTTCTGCTCGAGATCAGATTTCCCCATCAGTAAACAAAATGCTCTGATTTAATTTTACTATTCAAATCTATGACAATTTCACTAAAAAAGAAAATATATACGTGTGTGTGTTTCTCAGACTTTCTCTGTGTCACAGATTATGATCTCATGCATGGTGATCATAATCTTTTATTGTCAAAACTTGGTATTGCCATTGTTGGCATCTGGCTGGATTTGGCCAGATGCGAAACTAATCACGGCACAGCCACACGTCTCTCAATCTCATTTCATTCTTTAAAATCATAGAACTCTGAAATAGTTATAATTACTCAAAATAAATATTCCGATAGACTTCAGTTCCATTTTCAACTTATTTTCTCTGCTGGTATATATATATATATATATATATATATATATAGACTTTGGAAATAACCAGGAATTTGAATGCGTTTTTCATATTTCGAAAATGAATGTATATCATCCGACTTTGGGGCATTTGCGTGCGATTATTTTAATTAAAAATCATACCTGACTATATTTTATTCACGGATCTGTTCCATCTTTATATATTTATTTCTGTAAAAAGTGCATTTATGTATTTTTTGTCTGGATATGACAACAAATAACCATATATTGTATTCCTTTTTACATATTTTCTGATTACTGCTTTGGGGGAAAGTTAAAAATTAATTTAGTTGCTCTGAGGATTTTCTAAAAATGAATTGGTATTTCACCATAAATCTTTCCTTTCCTGCTACTTGTTTGCAGTCTATAACAAGAGCAAGCTGTCGTCTTCCCCACGCCACCTAGCTGCAAATTTACTTCCTGCAACGTGGATGTCATTGCAGGCTCATGTTTTTCTTGGTGGTAAACGTCTCTGCGTAACAAGCCTATCATTTGAACTAAATACACATGACACAGTATATCAATGTTTTCATGTCTCTTCTTCTTCTTCTTCTTCTTCTTATTATTATTATTATTATTATTATTATTTGCAAACATAAGTCTTTGAAGACCGTGTTCATAACATGGTATATTATATACTTTTTATCGATTATTTTATGGATTGTTGAAATCCCGAGCCAACTTCTTATATATTATCTCGGTCTGTATCTGCGGTACGAAATAAAATATTAGCATATAGTTGAAACCGCCTAGTGTTGTTGGACGTCCCTCGTTTTCAGCTATCAATGAGAGATTCCGTCATTTGCGTGGGCTTATTGTTTGAAATGTGCCCCTGGTAGCTTAGCAACCTCAGCTGGCCTGAATTCGTCCGTGCTGAAGATTTTTTTTTTCTAAAAGTAGCCATTTCTTATATTAGAGTTCTATACAGAGCCTAACGATTCTTAACAGTCTGTTATTTCCCTTTATATGATGGCCTCCATGATAAAAGAAATCTTTGGTTTTGATCTATAATGAAATATTTATTTCTCTAAGAAATAAAAATTGAACATAAAGTTTCTCTGAACGATTTGAACTTCGATCGCTCTCTCCATTTTTACGGCGAAGCCTTTGTCTTTTTCACAAGATAGTACTTAAAAAGTTCCATTATGTTAATTCACTGTTATAGAAAGTAACGAAACATATTTTTATTATTAATAAATATAACCCTAGTTAATTAGCATTAACTATACTAAAATCTCTAGAAAATGTTGTACAGTCTTAGAATCGATATATAAAGCAAAACTTATTTGATGGTTAGGACAAATATATTACTTTATTTTTTCTTTCTGTCGGTCCCATTAATGCATGTTACAAATGAAATAAAAGAATATATTTTTTTAAAATTCTTGCGTAACTTAAATGTATTGCTTCCGTACCAAACATGATTACGTAAAGAATATAGATATTGAAAGCAGAATTTTAAAGTATTTGGAACTAGTCACTAGTCTAACAGATAGTAACAACAGACTATATGTACTTGTAAAAATGTATTTAATATATCGGTCGTCCGAAGAAAGTTCTTCAATATGAGAGCCTTTGGCAGACCAAAAACTAAAACCCGCTCGATTAAATCAATTCAAATCTATGTCTACTTGGATTTTTTTCTTACTGACTTAATCGATTGGCCTGTCGTGTCCAGATTGCGTGCTTTCTCGACTTTCCACAGAAAATAGCGGAAATAATTCAACTAATGTCGAGCGGATTGTTGGAAGTAGGATATTGGCTTCAAAGAGTTACACCAATGAAGGACATTCGAAGATCAGTAAGCGTACGTAGGATTATCGATTATTTTGATTGCGATAAATTGATCGGCTGTTTATTGGTGATTAGAAAAGAGGAAGCACAAGGCGAGAAAACAACAAACGGCAGACTGTGAAGACGTCGAGAGAAAAGGGAAAAAATGGCAGGGTTACAACAATCTTAGAAATGTGAAGAAGAAAAAAAGAAGTCATTGTAAGTTTTTAAACTTCGAAGTGAAGCAAAGATAGGGAGAAGCAACCTGGCTTGGGAATGAATAAAAATTTGGAAAGTTAGATTTTAAGTAAATGGAGAATGATAGAAGAAAATTAAACCGTGAGAAGATCGCAAAAGAAAGAATAGCTTGCAAATATTTCGTGGAAAGGAAATGAGAATAAATTAAAATGATTTCAGCAAGAAGATATTAAAGAGGACATATCGAAAGAAAGAAAGAAAGAAGAGTAAAAAAGACGGAGAGAGAACAGAAAGAAAGATGATTTGTACGAGAATATTTTAAAAGGAATAGAAAAAAATGTTTTGATATGCAAAAGAAAAAAAATAAATAGGAATATATAGAAAATAGAAACAACAATAATGTGGAAAAATGAAATATGAAAATCGCAGAAGAAAGAGAAAATACAGCAGAAAAAAGAATCTTAGGAAATAATAAAGAAAATTAGAAAGAGAAGAAAATGGAGGAAAGAAAAGAGTAAAAATTACAAAAGAAGTAGAATAAGAAGTAAAGGCGATTAAAAAAAATCCGAATTAGAAAGAAGAAGACTCGCTCAAAATTCAAAAACGATGCCAACAACAATAAATAGAAATAAAAAGACGAGGAAAAAGGCGGGAAAATTAAGAATGAAAGAAGAAAAAGTAAACGGAAAAAACAGAGGTAAATGAAAAGGAATATAAGAAAATAAAAAGGTGTGACGAGAAAGAAACGAGGGTAAAGAAGAAAACTGCGATTGACAAGAATGAACTGAAAAGATTATAGAAAAGCGTAAAGGAATGTATGAAAGAAATAAAGAAAGAAAGTGTAAATAAAATGTGGAAAAGATGGAAGTGATACAAAAATAAATCAAACAACATTGAAAAAAAGGAATAAAAACAAAGAATAAAACAGAGAAAAAGAAAAAGAAATAAAATGGAAGAAAGAACAAAGAAGAAGAAAAAGGGAGTCAAAATAAAAATGAAGAAAGTGAAAGGAAGAATAATTAAGATTGATTAGGAAAGAATATAAAGATGAAAGAAAAAAGAAGCCAGAATTGAAGAAGAGAAAAGACAAGACAAGAATCGAAAGTTTATGAAATGAGAAAACGAAAGAATTTCTAAGAATATAAAAAAGTGACAAGAATAAAAAGATTAAAATAGAGAAAGGAAATCAAATGAAAATGAAGGACAGAAGAATATAGAAGAAGAATAGGAAGTGAAGACGAAATGTAGATAAAAAGAGGAAGAAGAAAAATGGGAAAATATATTTTTAAAAATCCTTGTAGTGTACAATAGAAATAAGAAAGATAGCAATCGTCAAACAGACAGAGGTACACAATAAGAGTTCAAGAAAGTGGAAATATTGACAAAGAAATAAAGAAAATCCAAAATAATATTTTTAAAAAAATAGTATAAATAAAAAAAAATATTCAAATGATTTCGACCGTCGTGAGTAAAATTGTCTCCGGTTTCTCGCTAAAAAAATCGCCGCTGATATGGGCGCATTTTTATTGATCACCAATGCGAAATCTCCAGTTGCAACGAGAGGTTCTAACGGTAATGCGCCAAATCCATTAAATCCATTCTCTCTCTCTCTCTCTCGCTCTCTGTCTCCCCCACTCTGTTTCTTTATCTTTCGATGTCTTTATTTCACTCTGCACTTTCTACACATAAGTGATTCTTCTCTGTTCTCTTATTACCATGATCTTACAAGCCATTGGTTATCACGGCTACCCAGAATTTCCTTTCTTTTGATGCTCTAAGCAACTTTGGCCGTTTTACCATCGCACTTTGTTCTTATCCTATCATCGCTTCATTGAAACTGGTTAAGTAGATAACTTCCTGTTTCTCGTTGCCTGTCTTGCTTTCTCTATGTCCTTGTGAGTTTTAAATTTTTTTATACCTTTCCTCGTTATTTATTGTCTTTTTTTCTGTTTCTGATTACAAATATCTGCTTTCTTATCGTTCTTCTGTTTATTTCCTCATTGAGCACATATTCAGTCCATGACATTCATAGTATTCATTGTTAGAACCACATAGCTTCAAGATTTCTCTCCAGCATTCACTGTCATGTACGAAATGGTCTATTACAAAGGTGTCTTTCACCATTGCTATGCGTCATTAGATTTTCCTTTCACATGGTTCGTCGTCTATTTCTTAGTTTCCCACATAGGTAAAGTTCTGCGGCAGCTTGATATTGATCTCCCCAATATGGATCAAACAACTTAACGTGCCTCTTGTGCCAATAATTATATATTTCTTCTTGTTATTGTTTATAGTTAATTTTCCAAGTTTGCAATCAAATCAGTCTTACTATTTTAAGATTACATCCGACAGTAATAAAGCCGGCTTGGATTTATATTTCTTTCCTGATTATCTGAGTATACACATTAAATAAATCCGTTAAGGAAACATATCTTTATTTTACGCACTTTTGATAACAGCTATACAGGGTACGATGGATAAATTTTATATTCTTGATTTCGTGCATGCGCGTTGATTGCTTTTTATTTTGTCAACTGCGCGGTATAGTAGGGTCAGAATTCACACAATTCACTCCGCCTGAAATATGGAAACGGCATGCTGTACTGCTTGGCATTAGCACCGGAAGCTCCAATACGAAATTTCAATTTGAGGACTGAGCAAAGGATTCAGAAAGAATTGAATAAGTCTAATGCTGATTACGAAGGGACGGCAGCTCGGGAAACTTACTCTGATCGTTCTGAATTGTCATAGACGGAGGACGACATGAAGTGCCTGAGGAGGTATTGTTGCTCTGGGTCAAGAGAGTGACTGATAAAAGATCTTATGTCTGGCAACAGGACAATGCACAATCCGACACATACAGGAAAACCCAGTCATAGCTGTCAGACAATTTCTGCGATCACATCACACCCTCACATATGGCCACCTAACTCCCCAGACTGCAACACACTTGATTATTTTGTTGGGGGGGGGGCTGTTAAGTGAGATGCCAAAAAAACTGCTCGTAAAACCAAAAATGAACTGAAGGCAAGGATTATGACAGCATTTACTAACTTAAACAAGCAGACCGCCCAGAAGAGATGCAGGAGATTCTGAAGCCGTTTGGACGCCGTGGTTGAAGTGAATTGTGATTTTATTGAATAAATGTACTCTTTAGTTTATCAAGACATTTTTGTTTCATTTTGGTAAAAAAATATCTGTTAAAATGAGAAGTCATTGTTATTATCATTTTTGCGTAATTTAGACGATAATTTAGTTATCGCCCTTATTTACGTGCGTAGAAAATTTTTTAAAGTGCGTGCTGATAAACATCATACATTTAACTACATTAGAATCTAAAACAGAAACACTGGCTGACCATCTGATGTCTTCCTTCTATCTTCATGCATTTCTATGTCATAGTCAAGTATTCTGTCCAGCATGAGATAATCAAAGTGTTAACATATTCTATCAATAACACTTGAAATAATTCTTGACACCGACAATTCCTATTTTCTTGTGCTATAGTCTGTGAGGTCGTAATAAACTATAAACATTATATAGACCCCTTATTGAAATCAATTATACACAATGGTCTTTGGGAAGGAAATTGCAAGTTGCTAAGTTATGATATTAGCTAATGGTGAATTCCATGACGACTTATTTTTAATACACTTCTATCCCCAAAATACACTTGTTACTGAACAATAGGACAAAGCATAAGGAGAACGTTAGGAGGCTGGTTAAAAAAAGAAATGAAATTTGTTTATTATATAAAAAAGTAAGGAACACAATTAAATTGCTGGCGTAGCCAGTTCCTTAGAGCAGTTTCCACTTCTTCATTACTACTTAATTTAGTACCGTCAGACATCCATCTCTTTCGTCCAATGAAAGAGTCACTCTAAACGTTATGGTGGTGATTAAGAAGAGAAAACTACTGTAAGTCATTAGCTACATTACCAGCCAGCTGAGATTTACGAAGCTGGTATGCACACCTTCATTCGTAGATGGTACATTCAATGACGAGGTGACTACATGTATGTGTAAGGACGAGAATCTGTGATATACACAGCGCAAAGATAACATCGGTGACTAGTGAATATGCTGATAAATCAAACAAACCAAAATCTTGTCTCCACCGATGGAAAGACAGCAAGCTAGAAAAGTATTTGAAGCTATCTCTCTCTAATCTGAATTCGTTTTAAAATTTATCTCCCTCCACGGGTCTCCTATCGTAATATTACTCGTATTTCTGTGGAATTGAGTTCTTCAGGATTTGTTAAACTATTCTGGGCTTGCATTCTGATTGCATAAAACAGTTGACTATACGTATTTGGTAGACAGACGTACAGTGATGTTAATTACGGTAGCAAAATAATCTAATAAAACCTATGGATAACACCTAATAACTATAAAAAGCACTCTTAATGTACTATATCCGCCTACAATAAGCAATTATATACAACCTAATGTCGGGACATAAAGGTAGGAACTAAAGTTTACTTATAATAAACCGATTTTCTAAATAAACCTAAGATTTTGCTGTCAAATTAGTGTGATGGATTCGAAATCATTGTTTATACAATTTGACTTTTGCCATTTAATCAACTGTTTTATTAATGTCGTTTTGGATTATGTGCCTGGTAAACGTGTTTCTATTTGAGTGGAGTCAGCTGTCGAAGTTGCGGTAATATATCTACTTAAATATACGTAGCTAATTTGAAATCATTGTAAACATTTCTTTATGTTGTAAATAAATATAAATAATCAATAAATATTTTGTGAAGGAAAAGTTGAAAATGTAGAGTTAGAAAGATGACTCATTCCAGTTACATGCGGCGTTAATCTGAATTTCAGTTCTCTTAATGTGATTTTCGGCTACGAGTGGTCCAATTGGTGCAGAGTTAATCTGAAATTGATATACCGAACTAAATTACAGTCAGATCGATAATATTAACATATTTCATTTACCCTTTATCCATTTGTCTGACGTCTCAATAGATATATAACAAATGGAATAAATATAACTTGAACGTCCTCATATATCCTTCGCGTAAAATAATAGACTGACTATTCTTCCCATTCCATAATATCGAGACGATATGCATAAACGCGATCTGCTATTCATAAAGTTTTAAAGCAGTAAGTTACATTGTTAGAGTATGATTGAACAGAGTTATCTCTTGAAACTCTTATGAATGAATATGTCTACCGGCGAATAAAAGATATAATATTCTATACATTTAAGGAAAGTAATATTTCTTCTGAAGCCACAAGACACATTCACGGTGTTTAAGAGACAGTTCCTTTAAACGACGAAGAGTATCGATTGTGGCTTAAGTTGCTTAGGAAAGTTTTCTCTAGTTGAAATTATAGAGGTCAACCACTGATATTCTAACGATTATTACAGAATTTGGCTATCGAGCTTTAGATGAGAACGGTGAGGCTAGGGCTGTGGCTTTAGATATCTCGAAGGTATTTAACAGGGTTTGCCAAACTGGCCTTCTTTACAAGTGCCGTCGTGTCGATGGAAGAATATTTGATTAAATCTAATATTCTTAAAAAAAAAACTGTAATGAATGTTACATTAAACAACCATGCTTTGATATCAGTTCACATTAATGCTTGAGTCGTCCAGGGTTCTATCCTTGTACCTTCGTTATGTCATATCGACATCAACGAGTTTCGATGTCATCAGATGCCATTTCAGTATTTATAGTGACGACAACTATTTATTCCTGTCTTAGTAGAAATTCCGATAGACTCGACGAAGTAAAATTGGTATCTGCTTTCGAAAATGCCCCCCAGTAAGTTGTTAACTAGGTCAGTAAATACTTCGTAAATTTTAACGGCACCAAAACAAGAAAGCGCCATTTTATCACCTTTTCTGTTTTCCACCTTTATGGCTGATGCTAACCTCCAGGAGACCAACTCATTATATCTTTTTGATCTCAAGTTTTACACTGATATGATGCGAAGTGATTAGCTTGAATCTATTGCAAGATTTGCTGCTAGGACATTTGCTTCACTGTGGCGTGCCAGAAAATTTATCTTGCAGATTTATAAATCTACCATTGGAATGTGAATATTGATGATATATCTGATCTGGTGTACCTGGTATTTATCTTAAGATTCTCGAAAAAATCCAAAGTATGGTCTGCAATGTTATCAATCCTGGCATGGCATTTCAACTGAAACCTGTTCTTTTATTGCCTTTTCCCCTCACTAGAGATTTCTCATTCTCTTTCACTTTCAGTAACACATTAAAAAAATCAACAAGTCAAACTGGATCCAAGAAATTGAACAATACACTGTCAATGGCGATAGCTTGGAATAGAACTTAAATAGTTACATTTTTCTAAACACTTGTCAACACATCTCGACATTTTCGACAGATAATTGATTGCCGTTGACAAAATTGGATATTTTACAAGAATATGTATCAAAAACTGCAGTGGCTTAGTGTAGTTGAGCAGGCTAAATTAACCTTTAAGATTTGGTAACTGTTTTGTGGAATTACTTCAAACCTGTTCATTTTGAGTGGATGTCGATCCGAATTTAAAGTGCCTAAGATATCTGTCATCAGCAGTTACAACATTTAAAGACTATTTTAACGGACACGTGGCTATTTAGTCAATTAAGTAGGTGAGTCGTTCTATCAAGATACAACCTGGCTGAATAAATTAAATAGAATATATGGAAGGATTGAGTATGAAGAAATCCCTCAACTCGCCTTATTCTTCAAGCCTTGTACAGTTTTATTAGCAGTTATTCAAGAGTCTACGGTACGATCATCATGAACTTGTTATTTGGAAATCATTCACAAAAATAGTAATATGAAAATTGTGAATAATTCAGAGATGCTTATTCAATAAAGATGACACCGATATTAACGCGTAGATTCCAATTAAAACAAGGATATATTTCTGGTTGTGAATTCGGATATTATTTAAAGGATGGGCTGATCCCTACGCATTCATGTTTGTGTGGTTATATGTTTTTATGAATCTGTTATTTAAACCATTAGCATCGTTGACTATATTTATTCAAAGAAATTAAACTATGATAATCAAATATATATTTTATTTTTCCATATATGTTTCACCAGATAATTTCGAGAAGAGAAAATACACATTATTTCTTAGTATAATATTGTTAAATATGTTGTGAATTCTAAACTATCTTAGTTGTAATTCAACAAAAGTTCATTTAACATTTCTGGAATCATCTCGCAGAAAGAGAGACTGAACTATGCACTCTGCAAAGGCTACAAACACCCTATCGGATATGATGAAGTGGATAATAGTTTCGCAGTTACTATCGAAGCATCCAATGTAGATACGCTTATATTGTTGGCTCAAGTATTCATTGATTATCTATATCCATATTGAACACACACAAACAATATATATATATATATATATATATATATATATATATATATATATATATATATATATATATGTGTGTGTGTGTGTGTGTGTGTTTATATTTTAAAAGGGCCCAATGCTTTCTGGTGAAAATTTGAATGTATATCTTATATTAAAACTTTAACAGGAAACCAGAGAAATCGTCAGGCACATAGAAAATTTAAATACAAAATCCTTAACATTTAATATAAATTAAATATTATCTCTCCTACACACACCTGTATATATATATATATATATATATATATATATATATATATATATATATATATATATATATATATATATATAATATATACAGACAAGAGTACAATAACTTGTATGCAACTGCCTGCTTGAATCGCCCCATTAGTTGTCATCTACTTGAGACCATATATTGTAGGTGGGACGGCCGTGAAAATTTACGCCCAGTCATTTTGTGTTATATGAGCTCCGTGGAAGGATGTATATTTCTGTTATATAAGCATTTACTCAATTCAGGGTTTGATCATAGTGTTGAAAATCCCAATGTAGTCTTTGATTGATTCATGACATAACATTGGCCATCTTGCTCACGACTATCACAGATGATGCGAATTTAATCGATATTTCTGTTGCTTCTCCGACTGAACTTTACATCCTGTTCCTCTAACCTTTTTCACGAAGGAAGCCAACTCCGATACCGTTCAAAAGAGATGTTAATTTAATGACCCACAGTATTCTTTGTGTGAGGTAATCCACTTTCATAATTTACGATCACATTGACTTTGAATTTCTATCGATTACCTTAAGTAGCATAAGTGATGATTTGTATGATCAAAATTGATCAGTGGCCAATTTAACAAAACGTTACGAAGATCCAATTATATTAGCCTTTACAAAAATATTTATGGTCAGTTGTTTAAATCAGCTGTCATTAGCGCCATATTGCCAAGAGAAACAGACCGTGATGACAAACCTTTTCGATTTAATAGGTGTTGCCTTTCATTACGTATATGTCTAATCTCTCTTTCACTCACTTTCTCTTTCTACATATATAGATTATTTTAAGATATGCTATATTAATGAGAAAAAGGTTCTCAATATCAATGATGGAGCGTATGTAAATATAAATGTGAATACTTTAACGCAATGCAGGTCATATTAGCCTAAATATCGAGTTCAAGCATGAAACACACAATCACCGTTCGGTGCTGATCTCAATGCCCTATATATATATATATATATATATATATATATATATATATATATATATATATATATATATGTATGTATGTGTGTGTGTGTGTGTGTGTGTGTGTGCGTTTAACTTGTCAGCAGTCAATATACCAAATAACGCCCTTGAACGTTTAGCCTTGGAGCGGGTAGAATGAAGATCAATGTGTTTTAGTGGACTCAGCAATTTTCAATCTGCTTGTCTGAATCATCTTCAAGAAGCGAGATCAAGATCTAAAAGGTCAGCCAATCTAACAGTGATCTCATTTCACAATCCTCAAACTTGCTCCATATGTGACCTCCTTTGTAAATAACCAGCGGGTCTTAAATGCCACAAGGAAATAGGCATCAGTAGAGTGATTTTCTAAGCGCAGCTAAGATGTGACACAAATTATGAAGACTCAACTGAGGCTTGATCTCACGACTCAACTCTACTTAATGTATGGAGACAAGCTTTCAAATCATTACACCATATCGAAATGCGCAAATGATTTTATAGAAGTAGCTTCGATGTGTCACAAAGCCGAAAGTCTGGTGCATCCAGTGAGGATCGAACTCATACAAAATTTGAATTGAACTAGTGAGAAATCCTTGCTAACTATTACATTAACTGCATAGGTAACAGAATAAATGAAGACTGCATTTTATTCAGTTGTATTCAGTGGTGATTCCTCTTCTATTTTCCATGTGTCAGATGGCTGGCAAGGAAAAAAAATTCTTCGAAAAATCGTTCAAACATGTTCAGACATCAACAAGTCCGGTTGGGTGCGAGGTTTCAGTTGGAAAATTAGATATTGATGCAGTCGGACAATGGTGACCTTCAGACATACATTGATTTTTTTTAAAATGCAAACATAGATTGGTTCAGGAATTGAAACGCTGACATTGATTCTAGTAAATAGCCATTAAAATACTTTTCAATGAATTTCGTTTGATGGAAAATGTTTGGATCATTCTGAAAAAAGAACATTGGTGGGAAACAATTTACTAGCAAAGAGCAAATCTAAATTTCTATTCGGGATTCTGTGCTATTTATTTCACATGAACAAATAAAACAGTTTTCAAATGCAATGCGTGAATGAAGTTTCAGAATATAGCGAGTATAACTTTCATTTAAAGCTTCCTTCTAATATCATTTGATCGAAACATGAAATTACGTAGTTTTATTATAAGTGGTGTAATAATTATTAATTACTATATAATCTTCCTTAAGAGAGAGGAGAAGATAAGGAAAGTTATATCTAAAAAGTATCCACTTATTATTTTTACATTGTCTAGAACTTAAGTAACTAATAACACTTTTTCACTTAGTACGTAATCACATGGCGTAACAAATCGGAAAGTCAAGTTCGCTTCCA